AGACAGGGTCTCACTATGTTGTTGAGACTGACCTGGAACTCATTATGTAGCCCAGGCTGGTCTTGAACTCACAGCAATTCTCCTGCCTCAGCCTCCAGAGTGCTGGGATTACAGGCATGCACCACCACGCCCAGCTGATCTTCCTTTATATGGGAAAATAAATGTACTACATTTTTTCTAAGAAAAGCCTAATAATCTTCAGTTTTATTTTATGCTAATTCAAGTTAAAACAGGGACTGAAATAATTGTTGTCACCTTGCTATTCATAAAATGGTACATTAATCTTTACCAGTATTCATGAACTCTGCTATAATTTTATAATCAGTCCTGTTTATTTGGGTAACTTTTTCCCTTGAAGCTTATTTTTACACAAAAATAAAGGAATGACTTGGGTATTAGAAATATCTCTGAAAAAAAAAAAAAGAAATAATCTCTGATTAAAAAGTGCCATTTTGAGCTAGGTGGGGCGACACAGGCCTATAATCCCGGCCCTTACTCTGGAAAGATAAGGCAGGAGGATCACTGCAAGTTCAAGCCCACACTGGGCTAAACAGTGAGTTCAAGGACAGATAAACTACATAGTGAGACCCTGTCTCATAAAAAAATAAATTAAGAAAAGACATTTTGCTTTATGCAAAAGTACCAAAGGAAAAAAGGACAAAGGATAGATAGGTAGGATAAATAACAAGAGTACAACTTCAAAGTCCGGATGTGTCCTAGCAAGTAATAATCTGACACAACTCTTCCCTGATTAAAATCACATCCCAAGATATAATAAAGAGCAATCACTAAGAATAGCAGTACATGGGCTGGGGATTTAGCTCAGTGGTTCTGCCACCTGCCTTGCAAGTGCAAGGTCCTAAGTTTGATCCTCGGTACCACACACACACACACACACACACGCACACACACACACAGAATAGCAGGGCATGACAGTGCACACCTGCAATCTCAGCTGCTGCCTCAAGAACAAAGAACAAGCCACAAACTACAAACAAACAAAAAATACTTGTTTTAATTGCTACCCTAAGTTGGTTGGTAAAAAAGATTTCTGAATTTTTCTTTTATACTCATGTTCATATCCATAGAGTGTGGAAAAAATCAGCTCTCTTTTTACAGGAAAAAAATCCCCGATTCTCAAGTAGCACATCACCAAATATTACTCCTTTTGGTGACTTTTAGGTAGTACTGCTAATAAAGTTTCCTTGTGCTTTCACCACTATAGATGCATAACTCTTTCTTGACACATACTTCAAAGATCTAAGGAAATATTAAGTTGAGGGTTGGTTAATATTCCATTAGGATTTGGAAGTGACCTGCTTTATAAAGAGAAAACACTTTGGGACACTGGTGAATAGAACACAACCATTACTCAGGGATTTCAGTCAAAATCTCCAGTGAGTACATAGGTTAAAGTAAAAGTTTCTGAAGTAGGAAAAGAAGCAGGCCATCAAAATCAATTTAGAAATTTTAAAGCTATTAAAAACTCAGAGTTCAAAACCTTGTCAATTTGGATTACCACAACCAAGCAAGCAAAAACAGGAAAGAAAAAAAAAAAAAAAAAACCCATGCATGTTACACAACAAAGTGTTAACTCTTTTATGTACAAAGTCCATACTCTTAACCTCTTATGAAAATCTGACTAAAATTAGAAGATAATAAGACATAACATTTGCAACTCTCCAGATACCATAAATAACATTAAAACAATCTAAAGCAAACTGTGGACACCTCAAGACCCAATGAATAAAGACGGAGAAGCTCAGCAACAAGTGTCACTTCTACCTCATTTCCAAGGAAATCCTTAGCAATACATTTAGGACAAAGTAAATAAATTGTCTTGAAACAGTGTTCATGTATTGGAATACTTAATAAGGCACAGTGTTAAAAAAATTTCTACCGAACTCAATTTAGGTTAAAAAAAACTGGTATTCTACCAGGCATGGTGGCGCATTCCTGTAATCCCAGCACTTGGGAGGCTGAGGCAGGAAGGATCACTGTGAGTTCGAGACCAGCCTGGGCTTCATAGTGAGTTCCAGGTCAGTCTCAACTACATAGTGAGACCCTGTCTCAAAAAACAACAACAACAACAAAAAAACTGGTATTCTAAGTATTTTATTCACTACAGTTTGCTTTTAAGCTGAAATTATAACAAGTATTTTTTATTAAAAGTATGTGAAAATGGATTTCTTAGAAAAGTCAAATCCTTTACACATTTTTGGTATTTTCCACACTCCTTACATATAATAGGATTCCTAAAGTCCCAGAATTAGGAGTGAGATCAGAATGTCCGATATGCTAATAAGGTGAACGATGGCTGGAGGACTCCAGGTAGTCTCAGGATGGGAACTGGCTGCCGTGGGAAGCAACAAAGGATCAGAGGTCTGGAACTTCCAGTACCACCCCACCACTGAAGAGGGGAGACAAGTTGAAGATTGAATTGTTCAATCAATGGGCAGTGAGTTAACCAAGCATGCCTACATAATGAAGATCCTACACCACACTGAGAGGACTGAGTTCTGAGGACTTTCAAGTGGTTTTTGGAAGTGGTGAGTCTAAAGAGCACATGGAAACTCTGCTCCCCCTCTTCACTGTGTCCTATATATCTCTGCCATCTGTGCCATTTGTCATACAGCCTTTTTAATAAATGGTCAAATATAAGTAAAAATTTCCCTGAGTTCTGTGACTACTACAGTAAATAAAGTGAACTATAGCAAACAGGGGTTGTGAGAATTCCAATTTATAGCTTGACAAGTCAGCAGCACAGATATCCTGTGAGACTGAGCTTGCAATCTGTGGGCTCAGCAATGATAGTGTCATCACTGAACTGAAAGAAAGAGCAACCAGTAGTGTCCACTAAAAAATCTGCAGAACTGGCTGCCGGTGGGGAGAAATCCCACATTTTAATGATCAGAAGGGAAGTATTCTGGGTTGACTATGTAAGAATAGGAAATACACCTTGATCTTTTTTTCTATCATTATATGCCTGGCACCAAAAAATAAGAACCATTTTAAGGTTCTTGTACATCTTGACAAATTATTAAACACACATTCATACACAAATACAATTTAGTTTTTTGATGCTTCCTCTTTAAATTTTAAAATTTAATAAATTTATCAATATTTTCTAAATTGCTTTTATATATTTCTAAAGAATTTCTTCCAAAAAAAAAAAAAAAAAAAAAAAAAAGGGCAAGGGTTTTAGTCCAGCGGTTCAGTGGCCTGCCTTGAAAGTTCAATCCCCCAGTACCAAAAAAAAGAAAAAAAAATTTCTTCCTTACTCTAAGATTGAAGAAAAAGATATTCCATACCTCCCAAAAATTTAAAGTTCTATGTTTCACATTTAGATACTGGTTCACTTAGAATTAACTCTCCATATTAGATATGAGGTAGGGATCTGGTATGATTTTTCCATCTACTCTAAGTAAATGACTGTCAGTTAAACAGTCCATATTTAACTCAATCTACTTCAATTCCACCTCTGAAACAAATCAAATTTCTATACATACACCGGTGGTCTATTTTTGGGCTCTGTATTCTGTACTACTGGTGTATTTGTCTAGCTCAGTGGTTCTCAACAATTAGGTTTTGTTTTTTTTTGTTTGTTTGCATACACAAACACATCTCCACACACAATGAGACATTTGGCAAAATCTAGATGGTTTGAGCTGTCACAACTGGGTGTGTGCAGGGCAGGGCTGGGTATTTGCTAACTGGCACCTAGAGGATGAAGATGCTAAAAATCTTACAATGCAAAGGATAGCACCTACACCCACCAAGGCAGAATTATCCTCTCTTAAAATGTTAATAGCACCCTAGTGTACCCTTCTGCTGATCAAAATTTTTCTGCTTCACTTTCCTTTCTTACTTCATAGACTGATTTCTCAGATTCTTTCATAGCACCAAAAATAATTATCTCATTCATTTCAAAAACTTTACTGTACAGCTCAACCTAATACAATAAACAGGTTTCTAATATACATTTATATTAGGTTTGAAGTTTTATTATTTGCAATAATGAGTATCTGTTCATTGTTTTTGCATAACTGTAATGTCTAGACCAATTCGTTAGAACTGAAATTGTGAGTCAAAAGGTATATAGCAGGGCCGAGGATTTAGCTCAGCGGTTTGGTAGCCTGCCTTGCAAGCGCAAAGACCCAAGTTCAATCCCCAGTACCAAAAAAAAAAAAAAGGTATATAGCAAACATCAGATACTGCCAAATGCTTTCATACAGAAGTCACAGCATATCAAAATTGTATACATTTACCTACATGAAATAGGTAAATACCTGTGCCAAAATACTTTTTACAACACTTTGAAATCTAATAAGAAAAACTCTGTTTTCGCTATAAACAAGTACTTTTTCTTTTATTTTCCAACCATCTATTTTGTTTGTGAAATACTAGGCCCATTTTTCTACAGGACTATACGTTTTTGTTTTTGTCTTACTAACAGCATACAATTTTTATGAGGGCTTTATTCACATAAACAAATATTTTCCCATCAGACTGTCATTTTTACAGAAGTTTTAAAAATTTTGTCATAAAGTTTTTTGTTTTCCTTTACTCAGTCTATGTGATTTTCCCTTGTATTTTCTAAGTTTTAGGTTTAGAAAGTCCTATACCGCATCAATGAATTATCACCATACAAGTAATAGTATTAAAAAAAAAACTCCTATGCTTGGTATTTTCTGCTTTGGATTTAAATTTGGTAGTTCAGCATTACACTGGTGTGGGTTCATTTAGCATTTAACACTTCCTAAGAAACAGCTTTATGTCACGTTTTATTTGAGGCTCCAAAATGAGATGCTTTACTTTCTGACCTGTTAAAAATCTCAAATTAGTGTGATTCTGTATTATAGTCATTGCACTTTTTTATAGGCAGGGGGAAATAAACACTTCAAACACTACATATAAAATGGTAATGCCTGAAAAAGGTGAGGTTGACAAGTACTGAAATTTATACAAGTCTACTACAACAACAAAAAGGCAGAACAATCAATTTCAACTATGTACTGGACCCTTCCACACCTATGTGTCATTTTTTTCTACGTATCATTTTTTAATACCTGAAGTAAAATTTTAGCCCCAAATCATTTTTGCATGATTTTATAAACATGAAAAATTAGCATAATTACAATGATAGGATATAAGGAAAAGAGAGATTTGGAAAATATTTTGTTTCACATAAACACTGATGAGGCTATATTGGGATTAAATTTTTTCTAATAAACTTTGGACTGATGCCCTCAAAACACTGAAATTTCTGTAACAAAGTAGGGACTTACCTGAAGTATTAAAATATTTTTGAAAAGCCACCAAGCTTACTAACAGCCAAGCTGAAATAGCCGTTTAAGAGGTCATATCCTATCTCATTAAGTATCCTAACCTAAGCCCTCTGACAGAGATACCATTTTTGTTTATAGGTGAAGATCACAAAACCAAGACACAGCCCTCAAGTAAAACATCTGAAGTCAAGCAGTTCTTTAAGCTGTCAAATTCAAACTTTCCATCATGTATTACCAAATGTACTAAGCATGGAAAGTACAAAAAGAATACACTACTCTGTTCAATGCTCTTAAACTAAAAATGATTTCAATAAGGGACACACTCTTTTCCTTAAAGCTGCTGCCTACCTTGAGGCCCCAAAGACAACAGTACTACATTAAAACACCAGGTCCCTAACAAGCTTCCAGAGAATCTGCAATTACACTATAAGAACTTTTAAGGAAGTGGCTACACTATTTCTGTAATGACTTTACAAAATCCTCTTAAACACAATTTTTGCCAACAAATAATGGTAGTAGTATATTTTCACAACGGCAAGCTGGAATGGCCGGAATTAAATAACCAGTAAGTTGCTGAGAGGTCTTGTGTTACAAAAACTAAAAACACATCTTTTAATATCAGCATATGATCATTACTACACTTTCCTATATCTGGATTTTAACATACTGAGTAGGAAAGTAAACCACATTTCATCTCAAAGATTTCTAAGCTCAGGCTCTGGCAACCAACTGCCTTACTAACGCCGGCTTACCAAATGCCTACCAAAAGCAAAACACTTAGTCCTATGTCCCTCAGTTTCCTCCTTTGTAAAATGAGAATAACACCAACTTCTGAGGGGCCTTGACACTAGAAAACACCAACGAAAACGGCCTGCAAAATAAAGTTTAAAAAATGGTAGGGGCCGGGGATGTAGCTCAGTGGCGCAAGGTCCTGAGTTCGATCCCCGGTACCGAAGAAAAACAAAAAAACCCTGCTATTTATTTCTAAGAACAAAATTCAGCCTTAAGCCATCTCTTTCTACTAGGAATAAAGCAACACGTGGCTTGTAAATCAGAAAGGCCTGGTAAGGATCTATCAACCCGCCTTTCTCGGCACTTCAAAAGCACAAGCCCACTAAAGACTACAAGAATTAACAACAAAATTTGCATACTTGCAATTACTGAAGAAAAAAATCTTTCATGTATAAATGTTTCTCACTTTAGTGATGTAAATGAAGGTGGAACGTGGGGAGTCAAACACAAAATGCTTTTAACAAATCCATCTGAAACATGGACAAGGATTTTCAGAAGTCTTTTGAAACTGTCTCATCACTCTAGACAAGTTTTCATAATCATTTCCAATATCTTCTCGTTCACTGATGGAAAATTTTAGGCCTCCTTATAGTATAGCCTTCTTGAGGATTTCTGGTAATGGTTTCAAGGTCTGACGTTGAAAACCCAATCTCTCGTTCGGATGTCATTTACTGCAGACACTCCGGAATCCTGCGGCCCCGCGGACGCAGCAGTAACCTACCACACACGAACACTCACAATCGAGGCTCGAAGACTGGCACGAGGCCAAGGTCACACCGGCAACCCCGGGCCAGGCAGGCGCGGCTCTCCCGAGGCTGTCGCGCGGGACCGGCGACGTTGAAAACCCAATCTCTCGTTCGGATGTCATTTACTGCAGACACTCCGGAATCCTGCGGCCCCGCGGACGCAGCAGTAACCTACCACACACGAACACTCACAATCGAGGCTCGAAGACTGGCACGAGGCCAAGGTCACACCGGCAACCCCGGGCCAGGCAGGCGCGGCTCTCCCGAGGCTGTCGCGCGGGACCGGCGCA